CCGTGACAGAGAACCCTGGGTACCCATCACAGACCGTGACAGAGAACTCAGGGTACCCATCGCAAACCGTGACAGAGAACCCGAGTACCCATCACAGACCGTGACAGAGAAATTGTAGTTATAAAGCATCAGATATAAGGTCAGCTACAAATGTGTCGTAAGGAAATGCAACAAAAGGATTTCCATTTTATTAGTAACAATAGGTCCATCGTGTTTCACATTTTTAATCCCGCAAGGGATTGCGCTAACAGCTTTTTTTATGAAATCAATTATATTATCGAGTGGGCGCTGCCCATCCAGTAGATAAATCACTGGTCGGTCTGAAATCCATACGGACACTGATTCAACAAAGTTTCATTATACATCCTGCATGAGATACTAAGAGTAAAAAAAACTAATAAGACACATGAGTAACGACCGGTATAAAATCCGTACCTATGTCAACTTCATCTCTGGGTGAAGAGAAAATTCAATACTGCTGTTTCTTATTGATTTTCTTCAAAAGTTTTTTCATCGAGGATTTGTGCCCTAAGGTTAAAGTGTCCGCACACAACTGTCATAGACCTATATGATAAAGTTTAAAAGGATGTTACTCGAAAGAAAAAGGGTAATAGCATAACTAACAAAGGAACCTCTCCAAGCGTCAATTCGCTTTTCGATGTTTATTTGATGAGTACTAGAATTGTTTGATCTTCCAGACCTTCGTTTTTGAGATGTCAAAATTTTACTAGGTTTTTTGTTCCCTTCAGGTCATACAGAACATCGACTCTCGGTTTCAAACGTTGTCCGAACAAGGTTCTCTATGAGATTAATTCATTATGTCAGTTGTTACTTTTCTAGTATCTCCTATCCTGAGATATTCAAAATTCTTTCATATGTAAACGCATATTTTTAGAAAAGCTACAACTTGTACAATTAACTAATCTTACTAAGAACTTTGCTCATGCAATGTTTGAAGTCGAAAGTCGATTTTTCACGAGACCATAGCTTTTTGTTGAAGAATTCAGTGAAAGACGGTTATAAGGTTTTGACCAAACAATGGAATATATGTAGGTTTGGCAAGGAAGACTTCCTCTATTGAATGATGTAGATATTATCAAGTTCTATAACATCTAATACAAGAAGTCTTCTTTTACAAGTCTGCATATATCCCGTTATTCGGTCAAAAATCACTGTAGAACTTATAAACACCTTTCGATACTTCGAAAAGAAAGAGCCGAAAAATCAAATCATTCTAATACTCATGAAATAAACATCAAAAAGCGGTTTGACACCTAGAGAGATTCCCTCGTAAGAATAATAAGTGGATTAAATAAAAAAAAAATTTCACTGTATCAAACAATTAATGCAAATGATTAAAGTATATTTTCTAATTTAATATATGAAATATTATTTACTTTAGTATATCTCTTCATCGTTTAACTGCTATGGAATTTTCAGCTGATAATCCTCAACATATATCTGAACTTAAACAAATGGGTATTGAAATTCAATTTTTGGTTGATGGTCGTTAGTATCAAATTTATTGTTTTTTTTTTGTTTAATTTGTTAATGATTTTTCATTTATGCAGAAGTTCAATTAGCTCATCTATCATCAAATGCTGAATCAATTGATGATGCTGAAAATGGTTTAATATTTATGCAAGAAATGATTGAATTAACGAACAATACGAATACATTCGAAAATTCTTTAACTTATCATTTACCATTAACTGTCATACCATTAGTAATTCCATCATTAGAAAAAGCAGTTAGTTTCATTGTTTCTAATGCTCAATTTGGTAAACAATTACATGATACTAAAGGAGTAAATATTTTTTGTTTTTGTTTTTTTTATTTTGTAAATATTTTTCTTGTATTATTTAGATATTTGCTCAATTATATATTGTTGAACCATATTCAGCTTGTTCAGAAATTTTATTTTCTCATTATGTTTATTCACGTATTGGTATTGTTCGTCGTGGTGATTGTATGTTTATTGAAAAAGCTCGTTATTTAGAAAATGCTCAAGCTATTGCTGGAATTGTTATTGATAATAATTTAACATTAAATTCTTCAAATGGTGCAATATTTTCTATGTCTGGTGATGGATATACAAATATAAATATTCCATTTGTTTTAATGTTTAAAGATGAATCATATCAATTATTATATCTTTTATCAAAACAACCAAAATTAATTGTATATATTGGAGAAGAATATCGTTTATTAGATAGTTTTTATCAACAAATTGATTATTTAGAAAGTTTAATTGAACCATTTAATCAAACAACAAATAAATGGATTTATGGACAAATGGAATTATTTAAAAAAAATAAACAATGTTCTATTTTATCAAATAAATTAAAACAATTAGAATTGATAATTAAACAACAAGTTGAATATGGTATTCAACAAAGTAAGAAATATACAAGAGAATAGCGAGAATACACGAGCACTGTAAAAATCTTTGAATGTCAGTGATTTAATCATATCCTTCAATTTCGACAGGTTTTTTTTTTGTTTTGAGTACGAATACTTTCCAAAAATTAGTATTTTTGTGTGTTCAATAGAAAATAATATCCGAAATAAAGATGTGCGGGACCAAGTTATCTCTAAAACTACGATCCGAGCATTGAAGAAATTTCTGTTATAAAACTTAGATCAAGTTTTTCTGAGATGTTATCTTCAAATAATCTCATGTCGATAGTTTTTGAGGGAAAAAAATAGAATTAAATATTAATTCATTTTTCATATCAACTTTTAATCGAATAGTTTAAGCAAATGAAAGAATAGGTTCGAATCTATCCATTGGAAGCAAATGATGTTTATACATGAAATTCAACGCTGAATTATCCTGTTGAAAATTAGAGTTTCACTGATGCTTCCTTATATATATTTCGAATATAAATATATAAAATTTTATTTAGATAATGATCAATCATTTAATCTTGATTTAACTACTTTCGATTCCAATGATGAATTCAATAGTATGGATCAATCATTACATTTTAATACAATTATTAATATAGAAGAAGAAGAAGAAGAACAAACTAATGAACTTATTGAAATTAAGGAAATAGATGAAGAAAAAAAGAATCATGAATAATACGAATCTTCTCAACGATATATATAGAAAGAAAAAAAAAAAAGAAGAATTTTTAAACAATATTGTTATTAACCCTTTTCTATTATCATTACCGGTGGTATATTGTTTTATTTTCTAGTCTTTGTATTATTAAATTAAATGAGATAAATAATTGACATATAACTATTGTTGGTCTTTTTTGTTGTTGTTGTTACTATTACTTTTAAAATATGTATCGAATATGAAAACAATTAATAAATATATATTGTTAATGTGCTGAGTAAGCAGAAACAATATTTCATATATGAATATGCTAAGACAAAATGGAAATAAAACCAAAACAGGTATTCTTTATGATGCATATAACCTTTTTAAAATATATTATCGATTATTGAAAGTGTATATTCACTTTCTATATGTTCTTGATTTCTATGAAGATCAAAGATGGAACCAGTACAGATTTCAGACCGGGCGTTGCTGATGTGTCTTATTAATTTTTTTTGCTCTTACGCAAGAACTTTAGCATAATGCCGTAATTCTCCTCAGAAACACTGAGTTTCGAATTTTAACTTCGAACTTTGTATGAAGACAGACCGTAATTAGAATAACTTATGGTGGAAGTTTCAGATCTTTCGATTGTGCCTAATCTGAAATAAGACCATCGAAATTTACTATTGCATATGAAGGGTGTGAAAAAAAAATGTTTTTACGATAGCCATATCTCAGAATAGAGATAATCAAAATTCGAAACTCAATTTTTCTGGTATGCTTGAAGGGGATTAAGGCATAACCTACATAATGCACATAGTTTCGACTCGAAAGCGAACTGATCGATTGCCGGTTCGGTCTAACCTACTCAGACTAGTACCGGAGTCATTCAAATACGAACACATACACGGACTTTGGATTATTTCATTTACAATATGAAATAATGTTATTTTAACTTATTTTGAAAAAAATTTTTTGGTTCATTATTTTTCCTTGTATAAATATATATCCCAATTTTCTCTTTGCAGTATCATCTGTTCTTTACTAATATTGAATATGTTGTAATAAAGGTTCAACTAATATCATTCGTTTATTAAATAAAAATTGTAAAAAGAAAAAAGGCAATCTCTGCGGATTAAAAATATAAAACACAATGTAGCTGCTCTTGCTAATTACAGCAAGATTGCTTTATTCTATCTGTTTTCGGATACATTTCTTTACTATCTGATTTTTTAATCCTTCAGAAATGTAATAAGGAAATAGTTCATATATTAGAACGAGACGTTATGATATACTGCCTTTGATACTATATTAAAAATGTCTGTTATGACCTGAAAGTGTGAATGATGAGAAAATCATCACTTCATACTCTTATTAAACTTTTTTGTGCATTTTCTTCGAAAGAATAACTTTCGTAATTATTGGAAATTAAATATAAAATATATTAATATTCCAAACCGAGGTCAATTTTATTCCAGATAAAAAAAAATCTTTTTCCAATGTTTGAAGATGTCAGTGTATTATCTATGAGTTATATTGTCTTTTTAAACTCCTTTTTTATTTTTGTTGTGAATGGTATGATAATATAAAATGAGTAAATCAGACCTTCGATATTTTTAATATTAGCAAAAAAGATGATACGTTAAGAGAGAAGTAACTTCGAGAGAAAATAAGATAAGAAGAGAGAAATTTCACATTTTGAAAAGTTAACTTTCATCAAAAATAAACCTTATATTTGCAATTCGAATATAGGAAACAGACAACTTTTGATGTGAGCCAAAATTATTAATTTTTTTTTCAGTATCATCACTGGTTAAAATGTCAAACAGAGGCGTGAAACCAGAAAAAGTTTTGGTTTCCCACCTCGACCATATTTTTTTTTCTTTGCTAACTCGTCACATCTTTATAAGATGTTCGTATCTTTTGATCATATAATATATTTAAATTATATATTACAAAAATTGTCACTATAGCTCGAGATTAATCAATCTTTTACTTTTGTATTCTCTATTGAACGAAGAAGTTAAATATTATTAACAGTTGTTGAACTTAAATTAGATCTTCTTTGTTTGCTAACTTACCCTGCTGCCGGAAAATCTCTTTCGTCTGCAACTAAACTGCATGATATTGATCATATACAATATGCTAATTAATCTCTTTCATTCTCTGATATCAAGGCATCTCGTTGTTGACATTTAAAATACACTCGGCAGATATTTTGCTAACAAAATGTAAAATAGGACTCTGTTTGGAATATCAATATATATTTCATATTTATTTCCAAAAACTTTCTTATGTAGTAGTAGAAAATATTAAGTGCAAATTCTATTATTTCGAAAGGCAAAAGTTCATTAGAAAAAAAAAAAGATTGATTACAAAATCGAAGAATAATTATCTTGAAAAAAAAGTAATCGGGTTGATATTAAATTTTAGATATTACTAAACTCATCATCTCAGGAAATTCCGAGATATTACTCTACCTTTCATGTGTAGGTTTTTCTGACATTTATTTTTAACTAAATAAATTCAATCTAATTACAATCTATGAATAACCAGGATTTGAACAACTAAGTATAATAAGGGACGTCATTACTCAAGCTTTATGAATAAATTTCTAATGAAAAAAAAAATGACAAAGCACGCTTAATTGTGCGTAGTCTGCACAGAAAAAAAATGAAGGTCTATAACTCTTCAATAGCTTCATTGATTTTGATGAATTTTTCATTATTTCATAGAATATTCTCCATACCATATCTTCCAATCTTAGGAAAAGTTTTGTAATAACTTGAATTCTTAATATCGCTAGATTTTCAACAAACAATTGGACATAGTCAAATTTTCGTAAGTTATTATCGTAGATTGCTCAACATAAGATTGACGTGTTATGGTATAAATTCTATAAAAGCATTTCAAGGCATCTTTATTATTTCACGTGTTTTTTGTTTTTTGTCAAATTTGACTGACAGTTCTTGTTTTACATCTATTTCCGGCTCGAACTTGACGATTAGAAAAGGCACAAATATTTTATTTGAAATATGTCGAATAAAACTTTAGAGTATATTCTATGAAATGATGAAAAATTCATTTAAGGTCACTGCCCTCTCCCCTTCAAAAAAGTCACTTTTCGTCAAAATGATCGAAATTGAGATAACCTCATGGGGATATAGCTCGTCAAATGCTCTTTCATAAATGACAAAAGCTTTTACTCAACACCTCTTTTTTTCCGAAAATTCTGGAAGATTTTTGTCATCTCCTATTCGAAAAATAAGCGGTTTTTACAAAAAAAAACCAAAAATCATTTTTCGTTTTTCTCAGAACGTGGGTTCGACGACGTATCTCTCGCAGAACTCCATCACAGTAAGAGATAAAGCCAAATATTTTTTTTTTTTGTTTGAAAGCTTATATGCAGAGCTAGCGACTATCGTGGTCCTTTTTTTAAAATAAGCTTTTTTATTATCATAGAAGATAACATCTCTATCGGAGCAGCGCAATTTTTAGAGAGGTTTTTTGAGTCATTGAACTTTCGCTCCGATTTTTTCCCCCTAAAAAGTAAGACTTTAAAAAAAAAGGGCCACGAGAGTCGCTGCATTCTGACATGCTCTTTCAAACAAAAAGAAAATTAAATGTCTAGAATGAAGACCCACAGAGAAAACTTGGAGATACTAAAGAGCTATTTTTGCCTCTTGTTTGGTGCACATCTCGGTTAAACATCGTACTATAGGGCTGAAAATTTGACCATAGCCATGTCTCACCAGTCCCAACATATCCTGAAATTTTCATATCATTTGAATGTTCCTGGTCTGAGATCGATTTTTGAGGGGTGGCCTTAAATCGATTGAATTATTCCCATTTTATCATGAGAGAAATTCTGAAGTATTTTTTGAGACTAGGATAATTCACCATGCTAAGTCCAATGAGGATATTTGTTTTTGAATTCAAACATTGTTATCTTGATATTTGTGAGATGTAGATTTATTAGGCTACATAATGTCAGATCATTTCGAATCGAAAAACAAATATCATCATTCGATTCAGCATGGTGACTTTATTCCATCTTAGATACTTTTCCAGATCAATTGACTGAAATCAGAGGTCCCAACAAAAATCATTACAATACTTGAATGAAACAAGTCGCCAATTGTTGACCTTCCATAAATCAAAAGAGAACAATTTTTCCTATCTAATAGCTATGTTTCACCAGGAGATAATCTGTTTGGCCTAGTGCTGATCAATCAAAGTTCAGCACGTATTTATAGGCTTGGATCTTCTCTTTGTAATAGAAAAAACCCGCAGCTCTCTATCTTGTTCTTATCTGGTGATAGTGATCTCATTGGAGGAAGGTTGAGAAGTGTAACATCCCACAAATCATGGGAATTTTTTATTTTTTCCTAGCAAAATTGAAATTTGATTTTTACATTCTGTTAAAAGAAACATACTCTTCCTTTGTAAAAAGTTACGATATTCCCTCAATGTTAGTTGTTTCTATCAAAAATTATCCAAAAAAAAAATACTCATGGATCTTTTTTTTTTGAAATGGATAACAATTAATCTTAATTGTTTTTGGTATTAATGTGAAATTTACCTAGAAAAATAATATAAAACGAATGACACGAAAATTCTTTCATTTGAATTTGAAGTGTTATTTTTATCCATAAGAAAACTTGTCAAACTCTTCTGTTTTATTATTCTATTTCAACATTCAATATAGAAAACAGTTGTTTCTATCTGATGCCTTTAAATATCAATGTTCATATCATAGAAAGCAACTTACTATCTTAAATCGATAAATCTTATCTTATTATTTTTACAAACAGATCTTAATATCTTTCTACTATTTAACATTTTCACTACAGCAATTGCTTGAAAAATACATATTTAAAGATTTTGTAAGATTTTATTTAAAAAGAAGAAAATTTTAGATCTTTGTTCAAAGATACTACAAAATTAAAATATTCTTCTAGGCAAATAAATCATTATGTCGTTTAATGAAAGTGATGATGATAATATCGATGTTCAATCGGATTCAATTTTTT